TGTGGCTCAGATAATTCCACAACTGAAATGAAGAAATTGCACCCAGCTGCTAGTCAAGCCAGTTACAGCCATCATGCAAAAGATCAGAGGGATCAAGGTGTTCCAAATATGTTGGATGTTCTAAAGGATATGAATCAAGTTAAGCTTCGTGCTATTGAGCGGTATGTGGTCATAACTAGAAATGAAAAATTTTGTCAATGATATTTAAAAAAAAAATTTGTCTAACTATCGTGTATCTTTTTTTTTTTAAATCATATAATAATACATGTCTTCTCTCTTACTCCTTTTCACCCCTGAGTGTCCCTCCCAGAGACAGTCACTTTCAACTTCTTTTTGATTGCCTCTTCTGGTGTCTTACCTCCTTATTTTTGATATAATAGACTTCTTTTGCTCTTTCTTGACATTTTAATTATATTTATTTCCCGTCTTAGAAGATGAAGAATGTGTTCTCTTAGTCACTGTCCCTCAACACACACATTTGCACATACACTTCTTGCTATATTTTCCTGATACAGTTAAATAACAGTTGTTAGTTAAATCAGTATTTAGAATTTGCACCACTTGGTCCTAACTGGTAGCACTGGGTCCTATCAGTAGAAAATAGTGACTGGAATTGTTTCCGTGGCTGGAGAAACAACTGAAAGGTCAGATGGGCTCTGTGCTCTCCACCCCCTGTTCTCTTGCCCCAACACTGACAACTTGACAGTTTCTGTTCTCTGACTTCTATCTTGTTACCTTGGATAAGTGTCCCTGTTCACATCGGGGCGCTTTCTTGCTCTCTGGTTCCCCTTCTCTCTCTCAAGCGTTTTATTTGAAATTACCCCTTCTCTCCTGCATTGTCAATTTTTCTTTCTTTACTTTATTAATGTCTTCACATCTGAGTATTTCCCATCTTCAAAACGTGTGCCCTCAGCTATTGCCTTTGTTTGCCTCTGTATCTGTCCTTCATATGGTAACTAGCCAAACCCACTGCCATTGAGTCTATTGTGACTCTTAGTGACCGACCCCCTTTGGGTTTCTGAGGCGGTAAATCTTTAGGGAAGTAGATTGCCCCGTCTTCCTTCTGTGGAGTGGCTGGGCAAACTGGAGTAAGCCTTTAAAAATCAAAGTCAGATCATGCCACTCCAATGCTTAACAATGTTCAGTGGTTTTCCCTTCTGCTTAGAATAAAATCCAGAGCTCTTACAGTGGCCTGTACGTCTCTCTGTGACCCAGTCCTTGCTGATGTCTTTGGCCTGTTGTCATCCTTCTTTCCCTTTTGCTCACTGCACCCCAGCTGTGTTTGTTTCTCTTTTTTCTGTTCTCACATAAGCCACGTTCCTTCCTGGTATATCCATAAGATGTTGACACCAAAACAAACGCCTTCCTGCCATTCTAGTTTCACTGAAATGCCACCCCCTTAAAGAGGCCTTTTCTGACCATTTCATCTAGAGTGCTTCCATCTCTAGTCACTGTCCCATTTCCCTGTTTTATTCTATTCCCAGCACTTGTCACTACCCCAAATTCTCTCTTGCTTACTTGCTTATTGATAATAATCTGCCACAGAATGTTCCATGGGAACTGGGTACTGCCAGATCCTCAAAGGGTGTAGTCCAAGACCAAAGTCACTGCCGTCGAGTCGGACCCGACTCATAGTGACCCCTCCTTGGGTTTCTGAGGCAGTATCACTATGGAAGTAGATTGCCCCATTTTCCTTCTGAGGAGTGGCTGGTGGGTTTGAACTGCCAGCCTCCTGGTTAGCAGTCACATGCCTTAGGCACTATGCCACCAGAGCTCCTAAAGGATATAATGGAGCCTAGTATATTAGTGGTCATACAATGAGGGTTGAGTGAATGAGTAACTAAACAAATGAACAGTTACCTTGATGGCTTTCTTCCTATGAATTCAGTAGTCCTTTTAAAAGTTCTTCAATATTTCTATAAATTTTCCTGGCAAATTAGAAAATTAGAATCAAGATTGTCAACACGGTGATGTTTTCAAATCCCAGGTCCCAACAAGCTCGTGGGAGAGCTCCACCTCATAGTTTCTTGGTTTTCTAATTCTTAATTCATTGTGCCCTCAGATTCCTTATTCCAGGGCAAAAAGTTTTAACCTCTTACAGACTAATTAGACTGTAATGTATGTTATGCTTATATTCCTGCTATATTTACTAACAAGGAGCTTAAGTTAGATCAATGTTTAATTAATTAATTATTTTTAAAACAGGTCACCTGGGGGTAGACCCATTCATAAGAAGAAAAGACAGAATCCACATTGGGACCCAGTGTCTTTAATATCTCATGCGCTAAAGCAGAAATTTGCATTCCAAGATGATGATTCCTTTGAGAAAGAAAATAGATCTTGGGATTCTTCTCCGTTTTCTAGTCCAGAAACTTCAAAGGTGAGCTATAATCATGTAAAATTAGTGTTTTTAGCTTTTTTTTCCCCCTAAGCATATTGTTCATCATAGATCTTTGACTTCAGGTTCTTTTGAAATAATTATGCAGAGTAGGCTGTCTGATTGTTGATGTTGCTAATATTTCTATTCTTTTTGTTACCTTTTACATGTTCATCTTATCTGTCAAACATAAAGACTTTGGATTATTTGGTTAAATAGAGTATTAATTATGCTTTTAAAAAAGCCAATGTGGTCATAATTATCTGTAATGACAGCGCTTATTAGATGTTTAAAAGAACACACATTGTATTTCAAACACTTGATCCTTAAGATTACTCCTTATTTGAAGTCATTTTCTTTAATTTAGGTATAATTCTAATTTTGGGAGTAATTTTCCCTTTTTAGGAGTTCTAGTGATATAGTGGTTAAAGCATTGGGCTGCTAACTAAAAGCTTGGTGCTTTGAACCCACCAGCTGCTCCTTGGAAGAAATATGAGTCTGTCTACTTCTACAAAGATTTACAGCCTTGGAAACTCTGTGGGGCAGTTCTACTCTGTCCTATAGGGTCAATGTGAGTCAGAATTGACTCGATGACAGTGAAGTTCTGGGTTTTTCCTATCTTAAAATATAGTTGAGGTAGTTTGTAACAATAAACCTTGAGAAAGAGAGAATTATGGAAGAATAGTCCAATGAAGAAAAAGGACAGCTTCTAAAGATAGGTAGACAGCATTGAGGAGTGACAGAGACATCGGCAGAAAAACAAAAATACAGGTGCTGTCTCAAAGAGCATAACAGTGCAGGACATTGTCCAACTCACAGTAGCACCTCCTGAGGCATTGTGTGTGGGTGTGTACGTACATACACATGCAGAGTACAATACCTGGTGTTGATCATGTTGACTTTTCACTATATTTAAAATGACAAAAAGCATGTAGTTTAGAACTATCACCTTAAAAATGCAAATGTGTTTAAAATAGAAGTTTAATACTTGTATAGAAGTTTATAACTTCCAAAGTACTTTTTTATTTATGTTATTTAATCTTTGCAACAACATCCTAAAAAACCTAGTTGAATATTACCAGTTTTCTGTCTGAGGAAAATAAACCTCATCATGCTTAAGTACTGTGTCCATAATCCACCATCTTAACAGGTACTAGAATTTGATTTATGAAAACTCTGGGATGCTTGAAAGCCTTCAGTTATCTAAGACATTCACGTGGGTGGAGACACTGTAGCCTGCGTTGTCTTACACCGTTCACTGTTTGATCACTGACTCTGATCACTGACACAAGCCTTTCTTTCCAATCTTCTATGAGCATTTTAGAGAAAGAATCTTTTCTTTTTGTATACCTTATTACCCTTAAAGGGGCTCTGGTGGTGTAGTAGAGCAGGCATTTGGCTGCAAACCTGAAGGTCAGTGGTTCAAACCCACCAGCCACCCTGCGGAAGGAAGATGGGGCAATCTACTTCTGTAAAGATTTACAACCTCGGAAACCCAATGGGGGTCACTGTGAGTTGGAAGTGACTCAATGGCAGCAAGTTTGGTTTTTTTATAGCCCTTACTTAGTACAGGGCTGGACATAGTTGCTTTTATTGAGTGCTATTGAGTCTGTTCTGACTCCTCGTGATCCCATGTGACAGAACTGCCTCGTAGAGTTTTCTAGGCTTTATGGAAGCAGATTGCCAGTTCTCTCCCACAGAGCCACTGGGCGAGTTTGAACCACCAGCCTTTCAGTTACCAGCTGAGTGCTTAATAGTTGCAGCAAAGGGAATAGTTATAGTTGTAGTCACCGGGAGCTCCACCTGTGGGTGAAATAGGCTTGCTCGCTTTTGTGTCCTCAGTTCTGAGCACACAGCCAACCCTCCCATGAGTTAAACTTCAGATGGTCATTGGTGCTTGTCTTGCTATGATGTGTTTTTTCATTAGATTAATTTGTGTTTAACATTTGTTTTATTTTAGTTTGGACATCATACTTCGTAGTGAGGACAGTGAATGAAAGGAAGAACTGATAGACGGCATAACAACAGTGAGAGCTGTGTGTATACTTACAAGGAAAGAGTGCACAAATATACTGGCATGGCTTTCACTCCAGTTAAAGGGTCTCATCCTCTGTGAAGAGTTACATGAAGTCTGTACACTGGGAAACATTAGTGCGGAGGTCTGAAGCCTCTTGACTCTTAGAATACTTGGCTCTGTTTGTGGAAGATTCTGGGCTCCGTATGGCAGTTAGGTGTATGGATGTTTTGTCTTTGTTAATATTATTGAAAGCTGATACACACTTGCAATAATTTTCCTAAGAGCTAAGTATTAAATGACTTAATGTTTTTCACTAGAGAACAGTGGGGTATCAAACCACTTTAAAGGATTAAGGAATGAATTTAAACTAAGTTTGTATTGTTGTTGTTGTTGTTGTTTTATGCTGTCGAGTCAGACCCAACTCATTGTGACCCCACCATGGGTTTCTGAGGTGGTATCACTACGGAAGTACATTGCCCAACCTTCCTTCTGAGGAGTGTCTGGTGGGTTTGAACTGCCAGCCTTCTGGTTAGTAGTCAAGTGCCTTAGGCACTATGCTATCAGAGCTCCTAAGTTTGTATTGTACTACTCAGCAAATGATAGGACATTTAGGTTCTTTACCAATTTCTTAAAGCAGTTATGACTTGCTAATTTCAGCAGCTTTGCATCTGGTTTACTTGGCTTCTAGAAACTTGGAGATTTTCAAAGAAGATGTAATTAGAATTTCTTAAAATAGTCATAATTTGAATCATATAGGTTGAGCTTCCTAAAAATTCTGAGATGATAAAGGTTCTTATTCGTAGAAACTGATTTTGCTTGTTAAATATGAGAAGTAGAATTAAAGAATCTTCTTGCCAGATTTTTGCCTATACTTGTTATATAAATATATATGCTTATGATTATTTTTTTATAAATAATAATGGTAGAGTGTAAAATAAATATGCTTTTTGAACTTGGCTGTGCTTTGTAGCAATTGAAATTCATGTTTTCTCCTACTATTTCATTCATAAAGTCTGAACTTTTTGAAAGTTCTATAGGTAATCTCTTGGGTGATACAAGCGAGACATAGTAAGTTCAGAATAGATACTCTGTTGATATGCCTGTCTTTCCCTTTCATAATCACCCAGGTTACCCATAGGTTTCCTGTTGCTGTGGCAGTGGGTTGGTTGGCTGGCCCCACCTCCATTTCCATCCTCACTCCCTGGCCACCTTTCAGTTAGGGGTAGGCATGCAGCAGCCATCTTGTTACCTTGAGGAAAGGGGGTTCAAATCACACAGAGCTGTGAACCTTGACCACACTGAACCTCTGAAGCAATGTCCAGACTTACGTAAGAAACAAACCTTAATGGATTTTCTGTTGCTTGCAGCCTGAAACATTCCTAATGTTATAGCCAATGTACTGTTACAGAGTTGATGACTGCCTGATTTTCCTGTTGGGACTGGTCCCTGATCTTTCTTATGCTACTGGCAGTGCTCTGTTCTGGCTCTTGTTCCTGCCCCTTCTGCCCGTCCCCTCACCTTGCCTTTCCTCTTCTCTCATTGTCCTTATAAGACATTTTTTCTCCTGAAACAACTTTAAACATGCAAACATTCTCAAGAAGACATAAAAGAACTAACCTGGTAAAAAGGACAGCAGGGCCTTCCAAATGCAAGAAATAGCAGTTTCTGCACAATTAATGGCACTCAAGAGTCCCGGGGTGGCGCCAACAGTTAAAGCTTGACGACTAGCTGAAAGGTTGGCTGTTTGAACCTACCCACAGGTGCCTCAGAAGAAAGACCTGGCAATCTGCTGCTGAAAGGTCACGGCCTTGAAAACCCTGTAGAGCGATTCTCTGCACATGTGGGGTCACCATAATCAACTTGATGGCAATTATCAACAAAAACAAAAGTCAACTGCAACGAAAGGTATCCTCCAACATAGGACAAACCATTACATCTTCGGTAGGATCTGTAACAGTTTTGGAACCCATGCCCTCTGTGGACTAACAGACTGTGGTGCACCATCATGAATCTTTTTCAGAACAGACAACCTTCTATGGAAATTGCCCATGGCTGAAGAAGACTGCCTTGCTCAAGTTCCGATCCCCTCCTTCCTTGGTGTCTAGTAAATGTGAAAATACAATGATCCAATACCCTCAGAGCCATAGGGCATCCTAGCATCAGAGTGCCCTATGGGATCTGCCGAGGCCCTTGTTGAGATGATATCTCAGACCAACTTCTCCCCTTGTCCAGGTTTTTACAAACATTAAGTGACAAAACTGGGTTATGATCAGGCCAAGGAGCCCTGGAGGTGCAGTGGTTAAGGTTGCTCACTGAAAGGTTGGCAGTTCGAACCCACCAGCCATTCCATGGGAGAAGGATGTGGCAATTGGCTTCTGTAAAGATGTTGTTAGGTGCCGTTGAGTCAGTTCCAACTCATAGTGACCCTCTGTACAACAGAATGAAACACTTCCTGGTCCTGCGCCATCCTCACAATTATTGCTATGTTTGAGCCTATAGTTGCAGCCGTTGTGTCAGTCCATGTCATTGAGGGTCTTCCTTTTTGCTGACCTTTTACTTTACCAAGCTTGATGTCCTTCTCTAGGGACTGGTCCCTAGAACCATGTCCAAAGAACATGAGATGAAGTCTCGCCATCCTTGCTTAAGGAGCATTCTGGCTGTACTTCATCCAAGACAGATTTGTTCATTCTTCTGGCAGTCCATTGTATACTCAATATTTTGGTTGACACCATAATAGAAATGCATCAGTTCTTTAACTCTTAAATTCACTGTCGTGGAGTTGGATCTGACTCATAGTGACCCCTCCTTAGGTTTCCGAGGCAGTATCACTACAGAAGAGATTGACCAACCTTCCTTCTGAGGAGTGGGTGGTAGGTTTGAACCTCCAGCCTTCTGATTAGCAGTCAAATGCCTTAGGCACTACACCACCAGAGCTCCCTTTGTTGTTGTTGTTGTTGTTATTTGCCGTCAAGTCAGCCCTGACTCATAGCGACCCCTCCTTGGGTGTTCGAGGCAGTGTCACTACGGAAGTAGGATTGCCCAACCTTCCTTCCGAGGAGTGGCTGGTGGGTTTGAACCACCAGCCTTCTGGTTAGCAATCAAGTGCCTTAGGCACTATGCTACCAGAGCTCCCTTTGGTCTTCCTTATTCATAGTCCGGCTTTCAAATGCATAGGAGGTAATTGAAAATACTAAGGCTGCCTTCAGGCATACCTCAGCCTTCAAAGTGTTAACACTTTAAAGAGGATCTTTTGCAATAGATTTGCCCAGTGCAATAGTTGTTTGACCTCTGCTTCCATGAGTTGATTGTGGAATCAAGTAAAATGAAATTCTGTACAGTTTCAATCTTTTCTCCCTTTTTCATGATGTTGCTTACTAGTTCAATTGTGAGGATCTTT